AAATAAAATAAGTATATATTGAAGCTAAAAATGAATTATGAAACATGTAAGCAAACCTGAATAAAATGCTAAGGCATAATCACTCGCCCGAGTAGAACTCTCAGCAAATAAATCACCATCAAAATTCTTTGTCATGCCACCTCGGCCTATAACAACAAAACCAATAATTGCTATAACAACCAGAGTAATTAACTTTAAGGCGGTAAAAAAATCTTGAGTTCTTGTTGCTAGACGGACACTATATGTATTTATTAAAGAAATCACTATGACACAAATGATTGCTACAATTTTATTTAAAATTTTATGTGTTAATGGAGAAGGATGATTTTCTTCACTCTCAAAGGCTGTATGATATATTATACGATTCAAATATTCAGCAAATATTACTGCTATAATCGCATTACCCCCTGGCTAACAATTAATAATTTGATTGTTATTTAAACTGTTATGATAACATTAAAATAAAATCAAATAATTCATTACCTTTAAGCATGTTATAGCAGTCCAACTGAATAAAAAAGCAGGAAGACTTCCATAAGCATGTGATAAATAAGCATGTTCACCACCAGATATTGGTATTTCAGAACCCAATTCAGCATATGTAAGTGCACCAGTACATGCTAACAAACCACATGTAAGCCACACTATTAATGACATTCCTACTGATCCTGCGTGCATTACGACAGGACCCGGAGAAGCAAAAATACCGGATCCAATTATTGAACCGATTACTAGATTAAGACCATTATAAAATGTAACTTCTTTCTCCAAAGTAGGATGCCTTCGTGTTTCTGTTAGGGCTAACGGTATAAGATGGTCATCGAAATCGAAACCATCACTTTGGCGTTCGTTATTTTGAATAAATGTTTGTCGGTCCTCTCCCTCTTGGTCACTTAAATTATCAAGCTCAGACGAAACTGAGCGGTCATCATTAATATCTTGCTCTTTTGAAGAATCGAACAAGATAAAACTTCGTGTATCTCTATGAGAGACAGACATATTTTAAAGGAAAGTTAATGAATATTGAGTGTATATTTAGTTGAGTTAGTAAGTTAGTAACAATCAATTGATCGCATTTTTATATATTTTTTTAAATAATGATTGGTTACAGAGATTGTATAAGTGTATATTAGGATGGTGACACAAACAAATTCTTTATTAGTATCTTCCTTTTTTAACACACATGTGACCAGTAGAAAATTTTCACGTTTATGTATGCTAAGGTTCTTTAAAGTATATATTTATATATCAAAATACGTTTATTCGTGACGTGTGGTTTTTAATAATTTAAAGCGTTATTTTACCGGCATTTTGCATACCTTCTAATGCTATTGCACTATTGCATAATTATAGGTGCTAAAAACTTGATCAAATTGACATGTCGTAATGGTTATAACTAACATAGCTGACGTAGATAAATTTTGCTCTAACTAATGTAGTTAAATTTTTCATAACTGATGCAAATAAGAAATTAGCGTTATATGTAACTTAAGATCCTTACTTCAAGATTAATTACGATCAGACCTCGTTTATGATGATCCAGTGTGAATCACTGATTTATCCGACAAATAAGTCTTCACTGGACTAGATGCAACATATTTCAAACCGGTTCAAAGTCTGCGTTAGGGGCGCAACCTTCTTATACACGTGGCCGAAACTGATTCGGCTCATTCGAAACTGGTTACAACATAAGCCGTAATAGACTTCAATACAAGCCGAAATAATTTCGACCACATGTATAAATGCCTACAATTCACTCCTGCACTCTTGTTAAATCGAAACTTTTTCGATTATTTCGGTTTGGATCGAATTATGACTTATATTGTAACTAGTTTTGAATAAGCCGAAATAGTTTTATCACATGTATAAACTTTCTGTAGCGGTAATAAATCATAATAAACTATATATGTACTGTAAAAAAAATGGGTTGGTGATAATTTTACTATATGAGTGTCGCTAAAAGAACCCCCGAAAATTTAAATATGACATATTTAAATTTTCGGGTTTTCTTGTGACACTCATATATAATACTTGCTTTTGCCTTTATCGTTATTATCCATCAATTAATGATCATAGTTGTCCTACACATAATAAGTATTTTTGAAGAACCATAATTTCGACAAACATTTCGTATTTATCATATTTTTTTGACAATTTCTTTTTGTGTACAGTACACTAGTGTATAAAACACGGATACATATTCCAACAGAAAAAAAAAATCTCCGTGAAATTTAGTACAAACTAACGCTAACAAATCTAAATTTTAATTTAATTTAATATTTTGCATTATATTGATCTACAAATTATATCCGTGTTTCACTGTAAATAAATTAATAACGATAAATTTTCTTTTTTTTATTTGCTATTTAATATAAATATAAATCATTTATCCAATCATTTCATAAGCTATAAGAATTTGCCAAATATGAAAAACTGATTTCGACAGACTAACGCCAAATGCCGAAATATCTTTGTTCATTAAAAAGGTGATTTAGACACTTATGTATACGACTGGTCGGAGGCCTTCACGGGCCTAAAAACTTGTACGTACGTACAGTAGCCATCAAAAGTAACCCGATTTTTGCTCAAAATAAAAATTTTTTATTAATATTATTTTGGCCGCATATATGGGTCATGGTCTAGGAAAATGGGTCTTTGAAGGGGGGTTTCCATTTTGAGAAAATGACGATTTAATGTTTGTGAACCCTAAATT